CTCCTTTAGCCCTTTAAAGCGTCGTTCTCCCCTCGGAGCCGCTGGGCTCATGTGGCCTACGTGTGTGCTTGTTTTCCAAAGGGATGAGTTCTGAAAACTTAGGAGATTTGTCGGCAGTGACGCTTCTGCGGAACTAGGACAGGCTTGTGACTCACCTTGCCTTAGACTGGCTGTTGAGATTGGCCTGGTTCCACTTGTTTAAAGGGTTTTATTTATTTTCCTCATTAAATAAAACATCAGAGAATGCAGATGCTCTTACCTCCTAATTCACGAACAAAACTTTCCAAGTTTATGTTCTGCTAGGGCTTTTCCAGGCAAACTGAAAGAATTTGTAGAGCACCAGTCTGTTGAGTCTCCTCATACCCAGGAACAGGCGCAACATAGCTTTTTTTTCCTCTTGAGTTACGCATGTGTCCGAGGACTTCCTGGCTGTAAAGTCTTCTAAGCTGTGTGATGGAGGGCACCAGGTCCTCACTTTTTGTCTGGAAGGCGTGGAAGGTCTCAGGAGGAGTCCTGTGATCGTTACACCTTGTCTTGTTGCAGGTTTGCCTTCAGCAAGGACAATGATGTGGAGGAGATGGAAGGGAGGAAACTTTTCCAAAAGTTCTTCCTCTGTGCTGGCACTCTGTTAGAAAATCTAACCTGCTTTTTTGGCAGGGGGATAAGAGACAAATTTCGTGGACTGCTAGGAAAGACGCATGTCCCTGCTAGGAACACAGCAGCTAGATACCCCGTGTCTCTGCATGGCTCTTGGCTGGCTGGTGGACTTGCCCTGTGGAGGTGACTGGGTGGACGTAAGCTGGCTGCTAAGTTGTACCTGCTGTATCATGGCGCTCTGCTAGCAATTTTCTGTACTGTTGTAATTACCTTGACTACAATTTCAAGGTGTGTTAGGTTAGGGCAAATGTACTTTTATGTACTAGTCAAGGTAAACCCTTCATAGGCTTGAGGTCTGGTTTGTATGTTCACGTTCACTGCAGAAGGGCTCTGTTGACCTAGATGCTGCCAAAGAGCATTCCAGTTATGGTGCTTGTGAAAGTGAACAGCTAACGCTTTGAAGCTCTTAATAAAAAGAAAAAAAAAAAGCAGAACATTTGCTTTATAGGCTTTGGATGCAATTAGATGCTTATTAATTTGGCTGAACTTTCTATTGCACTTGCCTGTTTTGGGTTAGAACTTTCTCTTGGCTTTCTTCAAGTTTATCTAATAAGGATTCAGTTGACTCCAGGAAGGGAGAAGACTATTTAAGCTCAAGCACCATCTTGGCAGAAGAATAGGTCATGAATGCTTTTAAGATGATGTTCAGTAACCTTCTTTGAATTATCAGAACAGTAAGGGTTGTTATAATGGCAAAAAAACCCTGTCTTTTTAAAGTGGATCTTGTTCAATTTACAAAGGACGTTGTCCCTTCTGGTCCTACAGTCCTAAGCACGTTTGACTTGGGTCTAGAAAGATTGCATACAAATCTGTGACTCGCGCAAAACCTGACAACTGGAAGTCAAGAAGACCAGAAGTGAGTGTGTGATTATATTTCACGAAGCAAGCTGGGAAGAAGTACACAAAGTTCTTAGGCTAAAAGATTGCTAACTATTTCTAACTCGACAACGTTCCTATAAGCCTAATACTGCTACTCACTGCCTTACTAGAAGAAGCTGTTTTTTTCCATCGGCTGGTTTTTGTGCTTGGGTATACGGATATAGAAGTACACAGTGAAGTCTTACTCTGACACACGGGCTGTGTCCTGGCCGCTCAGCGATTGCCCGTTAAAAGGGTGGAAGTGTGGGTGAAGGAGTGTTACCTGAGGCTACGTGCCTGCTGGAGTCTCGCGCAGCACTGAAGGCCGTCTGCCACCTTGTGCGTTCTGTCCCCTCTGAGATCGTGGTTTAAGCAGATCTTGATTTACTGTGGATCCCTGGGAAAGCTGCTGCAGCTCTGATCGGGTGCCGTCTGTTATCCAGATCGCTTTGAAGGGCAGAGTCTTGCATTCTGGAACAAGTATGCCACCTTCCAAGGACATTGTGTCCTGCACAGAAATAAACACAACTTGCAGGTAATCACTGCAGGTAAACACAGCTTGCAGGTAATCACTTGCAGGTAAATCACTGACTGTGATTTAAGCAATATGTCGGCCTTCCCATAAAAAGAAATAGTTACTTACCAGGTCGTACCAAGGGACAGCACCTTGTTGAGTCGCAGCTGGCTGCGATGAATATTCAGTTCTCACTTATTGATTTTGGCTGTGGTTATTGCTGTGGCAGTCATGTGCTCTGTGGAAGATGGAGCAGACTGTTGTGGAATCTACCTTGGCCTTATGAGCCAAGGTTATTAGTTAGGTGTTGGCAGGTCATTTAACAGCTTTGTTGCAACCAGGGTGCAGTTTTGTAGTTAAGAAACCTTCCCTGAAAATGCCCTGCTTATTCCCCCAAGAGTCAGGGTGTGGGTCAGCAGCGTTTCTCCTGCAGCATGGCAGGGATGAGGCTGCTGAAACGCTGTAAGGTGACACCCAAACCTCTCCTTTAATCCCGCTTCACTGGTACCTTTTAACCTTCCTTGTTTGCTTCGGGGAGACTGTGCTAGTATTGCTGATGCCAGACCAGTTGGAAGAGGGTTGGAGGAGGGCCCAGTTTGTCTTGTCAGTTTGTACAGAAGAAATAGTGCTTCCACAAAATGGGCTAAAAATGGGTAATCACAAGGAACAGTCATGATCTTCCCTGTGCTTCTGTGCTTGAAGCAGTAAAACAATAATCCGTGTTCTTGCATGCAGGCTCAGCGCATGATGCCCCTATTGCTTTAGCAACCAGTGAGCAATGCACCAGTGTTTTCCGCAGCTCCTTTGTCAGCTTGTCTCTTGTTCTAGTGAGCTCATCTGCAGTGTGGAGCGGGGCAGGGTGCACATGCCCTTGAGATGACTTTTCTCCTCTGGAGTAGGTTCTTGCTGGAGAATTGCAGACCTTGGCCATATTTAGGAGAAAAAAAAAAGGTTGGAGTACTCCTCTCTGATAATGAACTGCTTTTTTGTTTGTTCTTGTTAGGGAATGATGCTGTAATCAAAGAAAGAACAATTTTAAATAGGAGAAGAGTACCCCTAGTTGTACCTAGTCTCTCGTCTTGTCCTGTTCTGATGTCTCTCAGCTCACGTTGCAACAGAAATACTTCCCTGTATTTCCCAGGTAGCCCTCGTTCCTCACCCACCGTGCAAAGCACAGTGGAGCTGTGACTCCATGACTCCTGCTGTGGTTCTGTAGGGACGTCAGCCCAACCCTGCTGGTGATAGCCACTGCCACCTGCTATTGACTGGTCCCTTCTGTTCCTGTCTTCTCTCAGCTTCTCCACAAGCACCTGGCCTGGGTCAAAAGCAATGTTTTTTTTTTTTTACTGTTTTTTACTGGATTATATTTAACCCAGCTCAGAGTCACGTTCCAGTTTGCCATGTGATCCCTCTTGGTGGCACCACGGGGAGGGGGTGAGGAAGGGATGCCTCTTCCAGCTGCAGAGCTAGCTCAGGTTCAGACTGAACAGGTTCAGGCTGCTTCTAGGACCGATCTGCCAGTCTGTCCCTTGGCACGTGGAATTGGTGGTGGTGGGTATCCGGCCAGTAGTGTGTGATCTGTCACTGTGTCGCCACAACCTGTGAGAGGGCAGGAGGGAAGAGTGGAAAGAGGGCAGGGGAGAAGTGAGAGGAGGGTTCCTAACCTGGATGCTTACGGGAGCTGGTTAGGCTGTTCCCAAGCATTGACTTAACTCACCTTAATAACAGCTGTGCAGGGTGGTGGTTTTGTTGTTGTTGTTTTTCCCCTCCTTATTTTGGCAGTTTAGCCTCTTCTTCCTGTTGACCTACAAAACTGTCTTTTCTACTCACTGGTGTTCAGCAGAAGGTTTTGCTTTCTGACAGTGGTCAAAAACTTGTAGCTGCCTGTGAGTTCTGTGTTCCTGGCTGCTGTAGGTCCTCCCCGCAGTGTGTCACTCTTCCATCGTGACTGTGCGTTAGGCTTGCACGCTACAGGATTAGGCCAGTGGGTTAGGAATAGGTTGGGGTCACGTGGTTACAATCGATGGATGTTGGGAGAGTGGGGGGAGTCAAGCGCTCCATGCCGGCACAGAAATGTGTCTCCTGCTCACTAAACCTTACGCGCAGCAAGGACAAGAGTCGGAGTACTCAGCTAGGTTCACTCTTGACTGATACTTTTGCTTTTTGAGAATGGAGAAGTAATTAGGACTGCAGCAGTGTGCTTGGTGCCTGATGCTAGTGTATTTATTATAAGAAAACCCACCCCTGTCTTAGGCTATATATAGTAGTGTGATCCATATCATTTGATGCTTTGAAGAAGACTCGGATTCCAGTTTTGTTTGTGAGAGACAAACTAATAAGTCAGACTTTGCCATTCCGGATGTTCCAGTGGTGTTTTTCCAGCAACTGTGAAGTTTTCCACCGCAACGGTGTCCTGTTGCATCTACCACTTGTCCTTCAGTTACCTTCAGCAGTGTCACCCGTTCTTATTCTCTTTTATTTAATGGCCTCCTGTGTTTCATGCTGATTTGCTCTGGGGTGTAAAGTTAAAGGCAAAGACCTAGTTAAAGGACACGGTTTCTCTTTGCTCTAGCTTTTGTTTTCATGTTCTCTCCTTCGTTGTTTGTGTACGATCATTTCTTCATGAGTGTCTGTGCGTTCTCATCTCAGGTGATTTCTGTTTGTGCCAGTTCTGTATATGGTTAATTAAGACTTCTGCTTTTCTTTTCTCTTCTTTTTTCCTTTTTCCTGCCAAGGAGAAATGTGCTTAGCTTCCCTACTGCATTCACAGTTACAGAGCTCTGTGTAAAAGTTGGTCTTGCGACACCTGCATAAGGTAGGTCAGGGATGTTTTATAGACTGGCAAGATGTGTGGGAATGAGGTTCAGGAGCCATGGTAGTGTGGGTGAGAGCCTAAAGCGATGTTGGTAACGGAGATGGAAAGAGTCTACCGATGGAGCTGCAGCAGGATTTTAATGCGTGGAGAGGTTGTCTATGCAAGCCGCCTGGGCGTACTACAAATCCTATTGGTCTTACGCTAGATGCGTAGAAACAAGACAACGTGGCAACTGAATTTGAAGAGAGAGGAAACCTCGTTTGTTCCTCTTGAGCCTTCTCTTTCCTTGTAGTCCTCAGTGTGATAATTACAGAAGTGCTTTCTTCTTAAAGAGTTTTGTCTCCGCTTTGGACAAATGCTCAAAGTTGCTTGCGACAGTGGTTGAGAGGAGTACCGCATAACTTTGGTCTGATATTGAGAGCTCTAAATTTAATGCGTCATTCTAGCAGCCACCTTCCGAAAGCTTGCGGTGGAGCGTCTTCTCTTAACTGCTGCAGGCTGTATCGTGAGTTTGTCGAGGCAGGTTGCTGCAGTTCTTGTTTGTTAGCTGTGCTGTTGAGACCTTGTGTTCCCAGCAGTTGTTTCTGTAGCAGCCCTGGCAGAGCCCTGGGGTGTGCTACGCTCCAGCGTATTCCCCTCTGAGCTCCTAGGAGCGATTTGCCCTGTGCTCTTTGTGACTTGCACGGACTGCATTTCGCGTTTGGAAGGCATGCCTCGTAACAAGCACTTCATGCCTGGTCGGGTGAGCTCTTAACTCCAGCAGCAGGCCCAAGGCAAAGCGAAGGATGTGGCGTTTGGCATGAACGGTGGTTGTCCCGTGGTTTGCTTGTCTCTGGCTGTCGGTGTTTTCTTAGGCCATTTTAAAGGGAAAGGCCAAGTGCAAAACATGAATTCATGTTCTGGCTTGGAATTTCTTTTCAAGGGTGGGATACAGCGTGCAGCCTGTTGCCTGTACCTAGAGATGATTTTTAAAGCCTGTATCACCAAGCATCTTGCATATATTAATGTCAACGTCCTCCCACACTTCTGAGGCTGGGCTTTGCTTTTTGTGAAATATCACAATCTAAGCAAGGTAGGATCTAGTGAATGCTTCTGAAGGAGGCACCTCTGGGGAACAACTGCATCGTGAAGGAGGTGACTTGATAGGCTGATGAAAGGAGCCTTTGGTCTGAATACTGAATTAAAGCTCTGATTTGCAGTTAGGTAGATGGTGCTGAGTTGCAGGCTGTAGTGTGTAGTCGTGGAAAATCCTAACAATTTGTAATTGTTAGAGTTCCCCAAAGCAGCTTTGAATGGAGCAAAGATAACGTGGCAGTGCCTTGGACACGCTACTTGTGCACCTCTGTGTCATTGCAGTCGTATGAGAGAGGCTGTCTCCCTCTTCATCTCAAGGTGACAGCGAGACTACTTTGTGATGTTCTTTTACATAACTGTCCTCCTGAAAATGTTGCATTTCAACGGGCAGCGAATACCTCTGCATACTGGGCCTGCGAGTCCTCTGGGGGTAGGATGCAGAATTGTTCTACAGAAAAGCCCTGCTCTTCGTTTGTGGCGTAGAGATCTGCGAGTGCTGTGACATGGTGATTACAGCTTCCTTGGAGCACGGGGAGGGGTTTGTGCACGCTGACGTGAATGTGAATGGCACGTAAATACAGACTTAGCGAGGTGGAGGTGAACCTAACCCCGAGATGGCTTATTCACAGAATGCCAAATCAGAGTGAAGAGGGAGCTGTGTGACTCTGATCCCAGATAAGCAGCTGCTGCGTTTCTGAAACATCCTGCATGGGCGTTTTCTTCACAGTTAATCAGATAAAATGCTCCAAAACACAATCCTGCTTGACCCACGTAAAATGTGAAATGAATTCCTGAATCTGTGTTCCTCATGCTTTTCTGAACCTTGGTGTAAGTATAAATCACTGCAGTATTTCTCAGTTGGCGCATCTGTATCAAACCAACTCTGGTAGGAGATTGTACGCCGATTAGCTTTTTATCTTGTCGTTTCTGGGGAGGGGTAGGAGAAGGCTCCCGGTCATCTCAAGCGCCTAAATTTTGTTATGCTATGGGCCTGATACTAGGTAGATTCTGGACCTATGCGGAAGCTGATTGTTGTATCTGGAAAGGAGGACATGTTTCTGTAACATAAACATCTGCATGCTTGTAAGCTGAGCTCAGCAGTGGACAACGCTCGTCACTAAAGCGGTACCATCTGTGCAGAGTAGGAAAAGCCTTTCTTGAAGCATAAAGGAAAAATCTGAATGGAAAAAGCAGAACTGTTTATGAAAGCCCTTTCATTTCAGAGTAAATCATGCTTGCTCCCAGCTAGAGGGACTGAAATCCTGCCCAAATTATGTTTCTGTAACCCTTCAGATTATTATTTACTGCTTCTGTAGGGATTCATTTAAAAAAAAACCCAACCCTTTATGCTATCTGTTCATTGCACCTAGAGAAGTGAGTGTATGTTTTCACTCCTTTCAGTATGCACGTGAAAAATCCCCGCTCTGAAACGTCGAGGGAAATGGCTTAGATGGGGCTTTTTAGTTCTGTCCTGATTCTTACTTCTCTGAAACTGTAACTCTGTAAAATGCGTATGTGAGAGCAGTTTCCCAAAGTGACTGGTTCCTAGGAAGAAACTACATCCATAGTGCTCTCGTACAACTGAACAGATTCGCTTTGATCTTGCAGTTAACTCCTAGTTAATTCTGTACTCCAGAATCCTAATGATCTTGCGCATGCTTGCTCTCCTGAAATTTGTACCCTCAGTGCACCACCGAGAAGGTGAATGAAGCAAGTCCCTGGTGAAGCTTTCCGAGCCGAAGTTAAGTATGTTCGGTCCCGCAGCTTACCTCTTACAGCCGTCTCTGTTTCTGCCTTTGGAACCATCTATGTTTAATCAATTCAGCATCTGGGCATATTGTCACTAGCACCCACCAGAAAGATTTCATGTGGTTTCAACCCTGGAATATGGGAGTGAAAGAGAGGAGGGAGAGCAAATGTTACCCAAAAGGAACCCCCCCCGGCTATGCAGGACTCGCGATTGTCGAATGGAAAGGAGTCGTGTCCTTCTCTGGCTGACGAGGTAGATGGTGTTTATGGGTCTGCACTTCGCGCTTGAAGCTGGAGCAAGGGGGAAAAATCCATCAGAATTGAACAATATTGGGAGGAATCAACTCTGACTTTTCCCTGTCTCCTTTCTAGAATACAAGTTAAAATGGAATTATCTCCACTGTAATGACTTATTCTAGGTTTTTTTTTTTTTTTTTTCCTGCTTCTGCTGTTGGCAGTGGCCCTGGGTAGTGCAGGGAAGGCGTGTGCTAGCAGATATTTTCTGCATCTTACACTCTTCTACGCTGCAAATTAAAAATTGCACGAACCAGCTGTTCTCTAGGATGCACTCATTTAGATTTCTTTGGTTTCTTGTGTTTTTTTTTCCAGGAAACTACTTTGCAAGTCACTTCTTTATGGGAGGCGAGAAGTTTGACACCCCTCACCCTGAGGGCTACCTTTTTGGGGAGAACATGGATCTAAACTTCCTTGGGAATAGACCCGTTCAGGCAAGTTCCTCTATTCTGACAATTTCACGCTTCTTTTTTTTTCTATCTTTATTGCAAAATCTTGCTGTAAGACTTGTACTGGACAAGGGTGCAGAGCTAAGGGAGCCTTACTGCTTGGGGAAAGTCATCCCAGTGTGAAGTGCAGGAACCTTCCCTCACCCCATATCACAGCTTGCAGGCTGTGCTAGCTATTCAGATGTAAGCAGAGTTTTCTGAGAAGCTGTGTTCTGCCTTTCTAGGCTTATTTTCACTTAGGACAGAAAGAAAAGGAAGTGGGGCGAGAAGGGCAGGGACTCAGGAGCACAGATTTGTGGGGCTAATTCTGGTGGACTTCCTGCATGAGACTTGCCTGGCTGAGTGAGCTTCAAACATGCTGCAGAGATAAGGAGGCTGGGAAGCAGCCTTGCTGTCTGACCCTGAACTTCATAGGTCTCCTGGGCACATTGACTGGATTCCT